AAGAGTGTACTCAGTATTAAATTGTCAGAATAAGGGGCCCTAAATCCATCCTAGGCTTGGGATAGATCTTCAGATAGGGTGTTAACTACTTGTTAAACACGGAGTATGCAATTGTTCTGCAGATTTGAACACGCTTCCATTGCCAGGTATGCATCGGCCACATTAAAAGGACAAGATTCCTTCTGGGCTTGGTGGTGATAGACTGTAAGATAAGGCTATTTCTCCAGTAGGCTTTAGGGGAAGGTTGCTAAATGCTGTAATTTTTGCCTACAGATGAGTCAAACGCATGCAAGTTGTTTTAAATATAGATACTGTAAGATTTCTCCAATAGGCTTTAGAGAAATGTTGCTAAATGTGGTAATTTTTGTCTACCGATGAGTCAAATGCATGCAAGTTGTTTTAAACATAGATATTTAGGATCAATTGTTGTTGTTTCTCTGTGGTTGTGTTGTGAAAGAAAGAAACCAGAACATCTTATGGCTGTTACACAGGAATGATGAGACAAACCTTCCAATTTTAATTCTTTTTAGAATACTAAAGATGTTTGGAGGTAAAGATTCATAGATTCATAGATGTTAGGGTCGGAAGGGACCTCAATAGATCATCGAGTCCGACCCCCTGCATAGGCAGGGAAGAGTGCTGGGTCTAGATGACCCCAGCTAGATGCATATCCAGTGTTTAAAGTGTTGTACTAGAGTTAGGGATCACTACTGGTATCTTTTACTGCAAAAGGAGAAGGTGAGTAGCTCAGGTCTCAGAACTGCATGCCTGAAATCAAGTGAGTTAATGCAGAGGATTACCTTCTATCTGTGCATGCTAGCATCCAAGAGAAGATGCAGACATGCTACCTTCTTTAAACCCGAGTGTCGGAGATTATTCTACTCTCAGTCCACCCTCAGACTTTTTTCAGTCCCCTGTCACTATTAAGCCCTTTGCCATTGTAGCTTATCTTGGAAACTTGCCCTCTAGTACTCACACACTGAATATAAGGTTTATTGGCATATAAAGATGTTTGAGGGGCAGGAGCAGCTGAGGACACATAGGGATATTAGAAAGCATCGTGAGTGTGGCAGGAGGGAAAACATTTCTGGTGCAGTAAAAATGAGCACTCGTGTTTGTTTAAAAATAAAAACTTTTGAAGTGTGGGGCAGAGCGGAGAGAGAAATGTTCTTGGGAATTCTTGGTTCAGCCATCAGTGCGAGCGATATATGCATTTAAATATTTGTGTTCTTCATGTTGGCATATGGAAAGGGACACCTGCAGTGTGATCTGTGCCCGGCACTCCCATGCCTCAAGGCATCAATTATTCCACTACCTTTAAACATCTTAAGGCATTGCAGTAGCAAAGCACTGTCAGTGGCCTTGCACCCCTGCCTTTTACCTCTGATGTGCTTTGGCATGTCTTAAGTTTTTATAATGCTGTGCTTTATAGTTGTGGTGTGCCAGTGTTTGGAGATGATTTTTAGGACTCTGGATAAATGGTGTCTGTCAATGCAGGGGACTGGACTTGTACAAACACAGGGAGGATTCTAAATGCACGTCAGTTATTCCACTGTATTAAGTTGATGATTAACAAAATTGAGTAACACATGTACACAAACATGACTGAGACTTTCACATGAGAAGATAATGCAAGTATTAAGAAACCTTTATGTATTAAATCACAGAGGAAATACAATAAATGTTTCACTATAATTTGAGGAAGCCTGTGTGCATGACTAATTTTTTTGTTTTTGTTTAGAAAAAATATTATTTCTGGCAGGATTCAGCCCACCACTAAAATAC